GAAAGGGCTGAGAAAAGAACATGAAAATGTGACAGCGCTAACACAAGGCAGAATAAGTGCAGCCTTTTTTCGAGAAAAGAAAACGCTATCAGATTATAGGTCTATGCAACACCATTTTGGAGAGACAAAGCAAACTGGAGGCTAAGGTCGATGATTTGCAAAAGAAGATAATCGAAAATGTAAGCAGTTTACTCATTTTCGTATAATATTATCAGCCCATAATGAAATAAACATACGGTTAATAAAATTTAAATATTAAACTAAGTTTACATTTTCAAGATTTTTTATGTATACGTTTTTGCGAAAGAGGATTTTGAAGTCCTCAATTCATATTTAAGAAGTCATTTTCGTTTTTCAAAATAAATCTTGATATTTCAGATGCCAGATCGATGCGAGGTGGTGGCTCAGCAAAAAACTCTTCGAGAATGCAAAGTGCTTATCAAAAAGGTGCATCAGTCATTCTGTCGAATAAATGGGGGCGCTGTTACTGAGTTCCAATTGGAAATTTCAGATGTTCTCCCATTAAAAACCATTGACGCATTGTTTGATGTGGAGGAGAAACTGCAAAGCAATGAATATAAAGAGGAAATGGTATGAACGAAATAGAGTTAATTACATTATTTCTATACTCTAGGTGTTCTTATAACGGACCAATAATGTGCATTAATATATTCTGTTATTTGCAGATATCTTACATATTCACATTGGGCGCTGCGTCTGGAAATATTGATGGGACGATAAAAAAAATGTTTTCGGACGAATTGTTAATAAATTTTAATTGGGATGGAAGGTGTGGAAAGAGAGCGTTAATGAAACTTAAGCTCGTTGACCACATCTTATTTGGTAGGTTTATTTTTCCTTATGAAATTTGAGGTACTTATAACTTTATATTTATCATAGATATTTTTAAACTCAAAGGCCGTCTCAATTTCGAAAAGGAGGTAAAAAACAGCGTTCATCTCAGCCATAATAGGCAGAAGCAAAAGAAGTATGCCGCAAAAAAACCTTCGCAACAGGAAGGCGAATAGTTTGAATGTCTTTCTTATTAACTGCATTTTTTTCATAGTGGATTTTAATTTTAAGTTTTTGTGTGAAAAGGAAGATCTTTTTAATACTTCATTGATTTTTTTTTTTACTTTTTATCTTATATGTTTACTTTCTGCTTTTTTTATGCTCGACGAAGAAGAAGTCGATATTTTAAAGTTTTTATGAAAATGTATATAATTAATTTTAGTATTTAAACTTTATACCATTGAAGTTCATCGAGAAAGTCGATATTTTTGATCTTAAATTAATATATCAAAGATATCATATGGTTACAGTTTATTATATTAATGCCTTCAAACAACTGAAACTTCTAAGTCTTATAAAGTGTGATATTTTAACGTTAAATCAAGAAATTCAAATTTTTAAGATCCCAAAAATGTGATTGAACTAATGTTCATTATATGCATTAATATTCGACAATATTAATATCTCAAAGATCTCATTTTGTTACCGGAAGGTGAATAGTTTTAATTTCGTTCTAATTAACTGATTTTTTTTTCGTAGTGGATTTTAATTTTTAATGTTTATGTGAAAATTAAGATTTTTTTACTATTGAAGTTCATCGATTTTTTGTACAGTTTTTATTTTATGCTTATTTTTTCCTTTTTTATGCCCGACAAAGAAGTCGATATATTTAAGTTTTTATGTCAAAATTTAGATCATTAATTTTAGCACTTAAATTATTTATTATTGAAGTTCATCGAGAAAGTCGATATTTTTGTTTTCAAATTAATATATCAAGATATCATATGGTTACAGTTCATTATATTAATGTTTTCAAACAACTGAAACTTCTAAGTCCTATAAAACATGATATTTTAACGTTAAATGAAGAAAGTAATTTTTAAGATTTCAAAAATGTGATTGAATTAGCTATCATTATATGTATTAATATTCGACAATATATTTTTATAAATAAAAAATAAATAAAAATCAACTAGTATTTTTGAATTTGGTTTCATGTATTTTTGGATATTTCGCTGCCATCTACTCACTAATTCATTAATTATTTAGAAGTTAGAATAGTGGTCAGAAAAATCGCTAATTATCGTGATGTTTTCCCAATAGTTTCATCGTTAGATTCACTTGCACATCACCAACTAAATGACATGTATGAGCGAGAGAACATACTGAAGCGAAAATGCGCACATGAGTGTGCAAGAAAGGGATGCACAATCGCACAGCCGGAGAAGTGGTCATTTTTTTCCCCAAGCCCATACAAAACTAACCGCTAAACTGACGAAAAGTATTAGTCAGTTTGCCCACTAATTTAGTCGATAATCATAGGTCAGGCTTCTTGCAGGGGTACGGATTAAATAAGATTCGACCATCGAGAATCGAATCGCGAACTGCCCTCAGCAGTATCAAAAATAAAACCGTGATCGCGAAAAATACCTAAATAAACAATACGACATTGTGGGTATAAAAATAAATAAATTATTGTTTACATACAAAATACGAACGAAAGTTATGTGAGAGATAAGTGTCGAGGGCGCTCCTCTAAAGGAGCGCAGGCACTCAAGGCAAAGCGCAAGCAAAAGAGATGCATATTTGACAATTATTGCATACAGCCCAAAAAGCAACAACGCTAAAGAAAACTCTTATACTGCTAACCAGTGTTGCCGCGCCGTCCCAAGAAAATGTATCACCGACCAAGCCAAAAATGTATCCAAATGTATCCAATTTTCTTTTTTTACGTATCCATCTCATAATTTGTAAGAAAACCAAACATTTTGAAGAAAAATACATAATTTAACCCATCCTAAGGACTTGGAATACGTGTATATATATTTTTATATTTCATAAAATCAAACATTTGTAATTTCAGTTTATAAATTACATCTTTTATACATAAGTATTTTGCAAAGTAAGTATAAAAAATAGTAATTAATATGTTACATTTGTATGAAAAGTATACTATCCACCAACCGATGAGAGACGTTATCGAGAATATCCGGTCTCTATACGAAAAGGCTGCTGCAGAAAAATGCAAGTGCAAAGATAACGAGGCAGTCTGTGTTATAGGAAGCACACAAACGTTGCCATGGCCAAGAACAAAGCCTGGCTCCGTTCGGAGAAAAGCGGCTACTGAAGCTGTCGGCTCCCCGGCGAATAAACGCGGAAGGAACGGAGGAAGTCAACAGGGATGTCCAAAACCCGTAGAAAACGGGCCTACAATAGATTCTACGGCCACAGTG